ATATATTTAATATTTAGAGTTGACATGATTTGCCGTCGGCATTACTACAACTCTACTCTCGCTCTCTCTCTCCCTCTCGTATATTCTGTTAAAGCTCTGTACGAATGACTAAAAGCTTTGTATTGATGCAATTCTTCGAGTCGCGCGTCTGTTTGCAGATGATTCGAAACGTAATTATAATGTTAAATTGTTGATTCAAAATTAAGCAGCGAAGACGCAGCAGCGGAGTCTTCAATTTTTGTGCCCTCTCTGTCTCTTTCTTTTTTAACCCGTTCGTTTTGTTTGCTATGAAGCCGTTAAAAGGTGACATGCTAAATGGTCATACAACGCATTTATTATACACACACACATACACAGAGAGGGAGACATACACACACACACACACACACACTAAGTGCATACACACACAGGCTCATAAATACAAATAGATTCATCTGTTTCTGCTTTGGACCAGGCCTGCAAGTGCCCAGTGCCTAGTGGATAGTGGATAGTGGCTGTTGCCTAGACCTAGAGAGGTAGGTGTATGGCTGTATGGCTGGGGCCCTCCAGTGGGTATATCTCGTTCACCTTTCATCAATTGAAAGATCTCTTTCAATTCAACTCTTTGATGGCGTTCATATGTAAATAAAATGTTTAAATATTTGCATTATTTGTTAGTACCTTAAATGAATATTAAATGGGTTTTATTGCCGCTGTGTGTGAGAGTAAGTGAGTATCTGTACGTGAGTGTGTGTGTGTGTGTATGTGTGTGTGTGTGCATAGGCACAGGTATGCTCTCTTCTTCAATAAAACTCTTGTTAGGCCTCTTTTGTTTTCCTTTCATTTTTATTTCATTGTTGATAGACAGTGTGCCGCGTTGATCAACAATGAGCCAGACTTTATACATGAATATATACATACATACACATGCAGACATACATACATACATACTGAGTCAGATACTTGGCTATTTACATAATTTTTAATAGCATCGGAATTTTTTTTTTCTTTTTTTTTTTTTTTTTTTTGGCTCCTCCGAATTGCCCCTTTTGATTGCCTTGTGCAAACATTGTTCCCAGTCATCCAGCTCTGCTTCTTCTCGCACTTCTTCCTCTTCTTCGTGTTCTTTGCATAAAATATTGTATAAAATTCAACAGTTAATTGAACACTTCGATCATAGCGAGGGTCGCCACTGATATATGTGGGTGAGTGTGTGTCAATTAAATTAACTTGAAACAGGCTCAATCGGATGTCGGACGACACACACACATACACATACATACATACACACACGCATAATGCTGGTGTCATTCGCGCGTCCGATTTTTAATATCAAATCCTAGGGCATATTGAAAAACTGTTAAACTGAAACGAGACTCAGAGATTTTGGACCAAAAGTCACGATTAACGAATAATGTGGGCTGTCAAAAAGTCATAAATTCTCAAATGAAGCGCGCCTGAGTCCGAGTACGAATCGGAGTCGGAGTCGGAGTCGGAGTTGACGTTGAAGTTGAAGTCGTGCCCCAGCGCTGTTGCAGCTTCAACATCATCTCTGCGGTCGTCATTTGAGGCACGGCTTTAATTACTTGGGTTAAACGCACAGTTTAAAATTCATTGAAGTTGGCTTGATTTTTGAATCGTTTTTAAATTAAATCAAGCAATGTAGCACTCTCTGTGTGTGTGTGTGACACTTCAAAAGGAGAAAGAGAGTGAGAGTGAGTGAGACAGCGAGAGGGAGTGTGGGCGAGAGTGGGGGCAGCTGTCCAGCAACGCGCACGTGTTCAACATCAGCGCCATTTGCTGTTCCCACATTAAATCATTGACTGTGGGAGCTGTTGGCTGTGTGTGGAGTGGAGTGTGTGTGTGTGTGTGTGAATCTCAGTGACGTTAACTGCTGTTTTGGTTTACAGATTCCCAGTTTAGCACTTGCCTGCGATTGCCTCTTATACGATGGAAAATTAGCTGACGTTTTGGGCTACCCCAAAGTCCCCCACCAAAAATCAAATAATATATCTCCCATGCCGGACTCAATTCCATAGCTGGGGGGCATTTGTGTATCTGCGAGTGTGTGTGTGTGTGTGTGTGTGCGAGCGACTCTTAATGCACTCAGCGACGGCAACGGCAACGGCACCTGTTATAATTTGTTTGGCTTCTTGTACGCTGACAGGCAACGATTTGTATTAAATTCTTTGTTGGGCTCTCGAGGCACTTGTTGTTGTTGTTGTTGTTGTTGCATAACGATAGCACACATGAGAGAGAGGGAGAGAAAGAGCGCCTGTGTGTGTAAAGATATTTGATTAAGTATGCAAGAGTCTTCGAGTCGAGCGAGCGAAATGTCGCCTTTGGGGCAAGCTTTCAAAATCAATGGCAGATGAAATTTATTGGGGATTGGAATTGGCAGGGGGAGGGAATTGGCGCCATCTTGAAAATGCATTTGTTGCATTCAGGTCGCGTCATCGTTTTGTATTCACGTATATTTAATTTAATTAAAATTACAACAAATAAAAAGAACGCAAATGTCAAAGCAATAGAAGAAATAGCAATAAACAGCAATGGCGACAAATGCCAAAGCCTCTCTCACACGCACACACACAGTCACACAACCAATTGCAAAGCGAAAAAAAAAAACTCATAAAAATTATGATTATTACAGTTTTGTTTAGAATGAATTTATGAATTATTTTTCAACCATAGCTAATAAAATTGTTAATTGGATTTTTCCAGCACTGGCGGCCGCTCAGCAGCTGCAGCTGCTTACGAGCTGCGATAAAGTGTAATAAACGAAACATACGCACATACACATATACATGCATATATAGTGCGAATACACGACACACACACATGCACTGGCACATATAAAAGCTTATTATCAAAGCACTAATAAATACAACGTCTCGCCTCGCGACGCCTTGCGAAAGGGCGTGGCTTTAGTTATTTGTTGTTCTTGTTTTTTTTTTTTTTTCATTGACTTTGCAAGCGCTCGCGCAAAAACGGACGCCTGACCGAAAGCTCTCGCTGGCCCGTGTAAATGCGGCGAAATTAAATGAACGAACAAACAAATGAGAAATGGCAAAAGAACAGGCGAATTTACGACGACGAAAATGCAATGCTCTTTCACATAGTGAAATGGACTAAAAAATACCAAATTTTGATCTAAATAAAGTGCAAAATTAGGTATGATTTCCTTACAGAGCTAATAGAATCAGATTTTTGAATTAATGATCTTCTGTACATTGATTGAGACTGAAGACTAAAATACAGTATAGGATATGTGTGTTTGATATGAGACAACTTAAATGTCAAATTTGGAATATTCTCTGCAAGTGCATAAAAAGAAGCGACCAAAAACTTTCGCCGTGATCTACAGACCGGCAGGCGCAGCAAGCCAAGTTATATTTTCGCCGTCTACACTAAAAACAATGCGTTTTTTTTTTCTTCTTCAGTATTGCCGCCTGCAATCGAAACTAGACGAAGGCAAGGCAAAGAGTTACCACTAGCAGAAAGAGTCTTTTGGGCCCTTTTATTCATAGCTTTTTTAACCGGTTTCATTTTGTTGTTGTTGCTTTTTCTTTTTTTTTTATTATTTTATTGTTTACGCGAAATTTTCATCTTCACACACACATAGGCACACACGCAAGTGCTCACCCAACATGGGCGTGCGTGTAGCGCCCATATAATAGTGGGTAGGTKGTTGTTGTTGTTGTTGTTAATCGCGTGTGTGGGGTGTGGGGGTCGGTCAGTGGGCTCGCTCGCTGGTTCGCTCTGTTGGTTCGTCCAGCCAGCGGGCAACCGGCACAGCGAATGCGCCATTATGTTTTTTGTTGCCCGTTTCGGTTTCAGTTTCTGTTTTGTTGTTTCCATTTTTATATTTTATTCGCTTTATTTTTTCCGCTTCGTCGCGTTGCGAGCGAATG